CTGTGATTACCATTTCTTAAAATAATCAGCACTTTGAGCCTTTAAAAAATTCCTAAGATCTAGAAGGAATTTGGCTCAATAAGTCATGTAATACTATTATATTAATTATGAAAGCCTTTATCAAACTGACTGATGGGGAGGAACCATCCGGTGACACTGTTAAGTCTCATTCCCTTGTGGATGCTCGTTTTCCCCCGTGAATATGGAAATATCCTCTGCCTTGCCTGGTCCTGTCTCACTCTCTCAGGCAACTCTTGCGTCCTTCTCTGGTCTCCTCACAGCTTGCACACAGCCTCCCCTCTTTGCCCTTAGCTTTGACCTCGCTTCCTGCCGCACTGAAAAAGCAGAAAGCATTCAGACAGGCATGCCATTTTTTAAATCAGCAAACTACCTGCATCTCCATCCACCATTTGGCTTCCCTTCTCCTGCGGTGGAGAGCTGGCCTGCTCTCACCCAGGGCAGCCCTTCTACCTGTGCTGTTACTTGAGGTGCTGATGCTGATCTCCTCTGGCCTTCCTCTGCAGGACCTCTCCCTGCGTTATCCCTCACATCTCCGCTACGCTGTCAGTTTCTTCTTGTATTCGCACTCATTCCTATCAGCATAGCCACTCGCTTTAGTATCACTCATCTTTACAAACTCTCCCTTGACTGCTCATGCATCAGCCAAATTTCTTGAAAAAGTTGGCACTTATTCTCGCCACTTCTTTAAATCCCACTTTCTCTCCAACCATGGTGATCTGACTTCCATCCCCACTATTCTGTGACACTGCTCCTGTCTGGGACACTGAGAATCCATGGGACCAAATGCATGGGACACCGCCCAGTCCTCATTCAGTGCAGCTGGTCACATCTTCCTTCTTGGAACGCTTTCTTCTGTTTGTGCTGGTGATACTGCACTGTCGTGATTGCTTCTCTCTCTCTCTCTCTCTGACTGCTCCTTCTCGATCTCAGACGTGAAATACTGGATGCTGCCGTGTCCTGGGCCATCGAATCATCTCTGGCTGCACCTTTCCCTACATGATTTCATCCTAAGTTTTAAGTAGTCCTTCAGCTCCTGACTTCACATTTATGTCTCTAGCTCTGACTTTCCCTAAGTTACAGACTCATATATCCAGTGCCCCACTTGCCCCCTTCCCCGATCTATAATACGTGTCTCAAAATCAACGTTTGCAAGACAGAACCGCAATTCACCCAGCTATCGAAGTCATCTTTAACACCATCCCTTTCAACATTCCTCATATTCAACCCAACAGCAACTTCTGTTGGGTCTGCCTCCAACGTGTATCTTGAGTGTGTCTCCTTTTCTCCATCCTTCCTGCCCAAACCTTCTTCCAGGCTACCATCTTCTCTGACCTGCAGTAACATAACGCTGATGATATTGCTCTCTCCCCACAATGGAGTGATATATATTTTTTTAAACCCAAATGATATAACGTCACTCCTCTGCTTAAACCCCTTCAGCAGCTTCTCTTTTATTTCAGAATAAAATCCGAACTCCTTACCTTCGCCTAGAAGGCTCTGTATGACCTGGCCCTGCCTTCCTCTCCACCTTTCTCCAACAGATCGCTCGCTCTCGTTTCCCTGCAAACACGTATCCTTCCTGGCCCCCAGGATGTCAAGCTCCTCCCCTTCTTCAGGCCTTTGCATGAACTCTTCCCTGTGCCGTGAATACTCCAGCTCTCAGCATGGCTGGCTCCTTCTCCAACCTTCAGCTCCCAGCTCAGAAGTCACCTACCAGAGGCCTCTTCACACCTAAAGCAGCCCCACCCGCTCCTCCAGCAGCCTTTCCACATCTGAAACGACCCTCGTTTGCTACCATTTCTGTCTCTCCCCCGCTAGAACATAAGGTTCCTAGAGGGTAGCTTCTTTTCCTCTTTTTGCTCTGTATCCCCAGCACCTGGAATCTTCCTTGCTAAATAGCTGTTTAGTTCAATGTGTCAAGGAATACCATCAGCAAAGAGGTTTGGAATTAATCAGAAAGTGTTGTCATCTATCATGGCTGCATTTGCAGACAGATATTTGGACTCTCATTTACCTGTAATTTGAGTTTGAGTCATTAATTTCTTTAAGTGGAACATATTTTCTAATAATGTAGCTTCATCATTTGAAAAATGGGCAGAAAGCACTCATAGTGTGAGGATTTTTTCGTTAATACTATTAAGTTGTTATGGGCTTTGAATAAAAAAATACCAAGCAGATAGATCCCTTTCTGCGAACCTTGGGGGCTGGCGGTGGGATTGGAACTCCCGCTTCAGCTCATCTTACATCCTATGTGTTTAGATCAGTGGCCCAAGGAGATCAGGGAGCCTGAAATTTGTGAACTGTCTCCTTAGAATAAACACGGACTCATCAGGATTTTGTACCTTAAAGGCTCTTAATTGTGTCTTTGCTTCTCAGCTTCCTTCACGTCCCGTAACAGTTTCAGCTCCTGTAACAGTTTCAGCTCCTGCTCCCTGTAGCTGCAGCTCCTGGAGTTCAGTACCGCACGTTGCTGTGGGGAGCATCACCAAGCTGTGGTGACGCCCAGGAGTGGCGGCAGGAATGGCTGGGTTGCTGCGCCGTGCATGCTGGTCGCAGAGCCTCTGGGGTACAGCGGACCCCTGGGCTCCTTCTGCTGTCACTAATCTGCTCTAGCAGAGGCAGCCATGCGCTGCTGTGCTTTCTCCTCCTCTTGCCATACTGAAAGTGACCATTCCCCAACGCACAGGATACTCCTCAGTTCTGGAAGTTTCCAAGTACCTTTTCAATTAAAAAGCCTAGAGAAGGGGCCGGCCCGGTGGTGCAGTGGTTAGGTGCACACGTTCCACTTCGGCGGCCCGGGTTCGCCAGTTTGGATCCCAGGTGCAGACATGGCACAGCTTGTCAAGCCATGCTGTGGTAGGCGTCCCACATATGAAGTAGAGGAAGATGGGCATGGATGTTAACTCGGGGCCAGTCTTCCTCAGCAAAAAGAGGAGGATTGGCAGCCGGTGTTAGCTCAGGGCTAATCTTCCTCCAAAAAAATAAAAAGCCTAGAGAAGGTCTTTGGTGGGGTTGGCTGTCTGGATCAGGACGCTAATCCCATCAGTAATAGCCAGATGAGTCATCTTCTAAATGTGTAAACGATTGCTTCATAGAACTGGGCATGTGATGGTGGGAGCCACAAGGACTTTATGGCAGAAATCCTACTAGACTTGTAAGCAAAGCTACATCAGTTTCATCAGTTCAGGGATGGTGTCGCCACTGCTGTGTTTATTGGTCAGGATCGGCTTACTGTCCAGAACCCATTTCCAAACTGACGTGGCTTAACAACACGCAGGTTTATTTATTTCTTATGTCACAATCCAGTCAGGTGGCTCTCTGCTCCACACAGTCCTCCAGGGACCCAGGCTCCTTCCTCCTAACGCAGGAGGTCTGAACCTGGACTCTCCAGATCCCCAACGGGGTGGACAGAATTCAGGGGTCTGCGCACTTAGACGGGGGAAAAAGTAAATCTTCATTGTCATTAACCTCTTAACTATAATTTAGCATTTCCTACAATTATGATTGAAAGCATTGAACCACAATAATATGAGTGCCACCTGTGACTTTACTACCATGGGAAATCATAGATATTTTCGTATCACATTACAATTTTAGCAGATATCATGCAATATCATTTGTGCTTAACACTGCTTTGAAATTATGGTAGTTATTAGACTCACTTCCAGATCTTGTTATTTAATGTGTTAATTAAAGAGTACATATATTACCATATCACAAAATATTTTTAACATTTTGGTAACTGTATTTCAGTACACTTGCTTTTCTTTGTAATTCTATGTATTTTATTTTAAACGTTAAGAAGCATTATTCCCTGAAGGGGTCCATAGGTTTCGTGAGACTGCCAAAAGGGTTCATGGCAAACAAAAGATCGAGAAGCCCTGATCTAGTGGTCCTGCTGCCCCCTGAGTCCTCGAGTGTCCTCTGCATCTAGACAGCAGAGCGAGCTGGGGTGGTGTTGGGAAATAGTTTAGTGATAAGTCTTAGAAGGGACATCTGTCACTTCTGCCCGCATCCCATTGGTCCTAATTAGTCACATGACCCCAATTGACCGCATGGAAGGCTGGGAAATTCAGTCTAGCTGTGTGCCCAGGAGGACAAGGAAACGGGGCTTGGTGAGCACATGGAAGTGATTGTCACCACGCCCGTGGGAACAGTCAGCAAAGAGACAGCATCCCAATGACAAGGGCTCTCCCTGGAGAAAATCTATTGCCTGTCAGATTCACAACGGGAAGTCTAATCATGATGATAATAACAATAATAATAATACCACAATAGCTGCCCTTGGTTGAATGATCACTCCTGTCGGGGTTGTGTTAAAGGATTCACTCTCATGACTTCATTTGACCCTCGTAATAACCCTGTGAGATAGGTACTATTCTTGTTCCTCCTTGATAAATAAAGGAACTGCAGACTTGAGAAAGTAAGTCCAGAATCTGTGTTCTCAATCACTGTGCTGGACTGTTTTTGGAAAACACTGAGACCCTTATAGAAGAAGGTGGGACTGCATCCTGGTGGAGGGTGGTTCCTGGAGCCAGACTCCTGGATTCGTATCCCAGCTTTGCAGGAAGCTGGTTCATCCACTGGGCGCGTTTTACTGAGCTGTCTATGCATCTGTAAAATGGAAATAATCGTATCCATTTTTTAGGATTAAATGACATAAACTCTTAGAACAGCACCTGGCACATGTAAGTGCTCTGTGAATGTTACTTCCTTAATGGCTAAGTGACGCTGTGACCACCTCGATGGAAGTGAACTAAGTGCTCCAGCAGAACTCAGTTTCACGAGGGATGCAGGGGAACGTGAGATGACCAAGACCCTCCGCAGCTGGGGGGTTTCCTAGAACAATGTGCTGAGTTATAGTCGAGAAAATGGGAAGCCCTTACTTTTCTAATGAAGGAAAAAATGTGTGGGGCGACAGAAAGACAATGTCGATGGGCTAGTTTTCATTCTAAGGTAACCTCCTCTCGCCTTTGTAGAATTCCATGAAGGTGATGTTCAAATGCCTCTGGAAGAACTGTGGCAAGGTGCTGGGCACTGCAGCGGGAATCCAGAAACACATCCGGACCATCCATCTTGGGTAAGGCAGCCCTCCCCTCAGAGCTCGGTGGCGTCCCCATCAGTTCATTCCAAGGCCACCTGCTCTCGGACATTACACACCACACTGTGCCTTCAAGGTCCTGAGCACCAGAATGGAGACTGGGTGTGCCTGGTCTTCCTGATCACTGTGGAGATGGCCACTGCAGACAGTGTGGGCCAACATGGCGCGGTGGAAAGCACGTGGATTGAACGTTGTAAACTCTCCCCAATTTACTTACTAAGTGATGTTAGACAAGTCACTGTGCTGAGCCTCCAGGCCCTCTGCCAGTGAGGCTACTGATACCATCAGCCCTGCAGGCTCATGTGTGAGGGTCAAAAGTAAAATGTGAGAGTGATTTGTAAGATATAAAGCACCAGCGTAGGGTAGGACCCCCTGAAATTGTCTTTGAAATTAATGTGCGTTTTTTTCCCAATGAAGAGTATTCGTGACTTTGAGCCTCAAAGGCATGGACAGCCCAACAAGGCTTTAAGAACCACTGTGTTGATCAGTGCTGCTGTTGCTGTTCTCAGGATGCCGGATGACCTGGCTCCATCATTTTCTGCTGTTCAAATAAGCCCTTTATTTGTACAATCTACACTTTCCTTTGTGTTCTATAAAAACCTTTCTAAGAAAAGATAACCAAAGCTTTGGGAGCCTCAGTGATTAGGGACCACATAGGGGGACAGGGGTGGTTCAGCAGTCTTGTCCTGTAGTCTCCGGGTCTTTCTCGTCCAGAGATCTGGGACTTAGAAGGGACCTTGAGAGGCTGTAAGGCATAAGGAGTGCACATAAGGCAGGTCCGAACTCATGACCACGGCCCCGGATGCTGGACACAGAGGTGGCCTTCCAACAAGATGAGTGTTGAGAAATAAACAGTACAGTCACTTTGCCCAGCAAGGGATCAGTTTAGGAAATGCGTCATCCTTAAGAAGTGATGTAAAAAGAAAATGACAATGCTGGGGTGATTTTGCTCATCTGTGCCGGCGGGCGCCTTCCATGACTGTGGAGAACAGCGAGGATCTGGCTCCCTAACCCATAGGGCTGATGTTTGGAGACGGAGCCAGACCCTTCCAGAGCATGGCACCAAGCGCTGTGGGTGTGACCCAGCAAGGCCCGCCTTCATCCTCCAAGAAACCCCACTCTGGAACCACGCTGGGCAGACTGCCTCATTCTTGTTCCTGAAGCTTCAGGCAAGGAAATCCTGCCCACCTCCCCTCAAACCTCATCGTCAGGACAACTCCCCTTATAAATAGCTCAGAGTTATTTAAAGGCTTAGAAAGAACTTCCCGAAGCTATAATCAGGAACTAGGACATTTGTTTTAAAGTCCGTCTGCCTGGAAAATTGAATGCTGTCCCACCCCTCGCAGAAGCACATGAAGCCGTGATACATGTGCATCACACAACTTTCCCTTGAGCTCCCGGGGTGCTCTCGTGGTGGGTGCCATTCAAAATGCAGCCACGCGTTTGCCTCCGCAGGAGTCCCTGTTCACGCTGTACTCCTCACGTTGCCCCGGTGAATTCCGACTCCCTGCCTGCCAGCCACTGCGCAGCAATGGGCTGGGTAGCAGGATGCAAGGCTGAACTCTGTGAAGCCCGGGGCCTGAGCTTTCCATGGACTGGGAGAGAGAGTGCCTTTGCCTTCGTCCAGGAGCTCCATTAGGGGTCTCTGAGACGATGGAATGTGTGTCATGAATGTTGGTGGAGGTGGCGGACACCTTCCAGACCCCAAAGAACATAGATCTTTCTGCTGTGGCTGCAGTGTACCCCGTGGCCGGGGAAAAACAGCCCACTGCTTTTCTCTTTAATACATTTTTTTTTTTTTGAGGAAGATTAGCCCTGAGCTAACTGCTGCCAATCCTCCTCTTTTTGCTGAGGAAGACTGGCCCTGAGCTAACATCCGTGCCCATCTTCCTCTACTTTATATGTGGGATGCCTACCACAGCATGGATTGCCAAGCAGCGAACCCTGGGCCGCTGAGAAGTGGAATGTGTGAACTTAACTGCTGTGCCATCGGGCGGGCCCCTGCTTTTCTCTTTAATCTCACTTCATTCCTGCGCACCAGGGGCAGGGGCTGATCCTGATCTATCTCCGTAGAGGATACTCCCTTCCCCCAGGCCCCTGTGTCTGTTAGCTCTTGGCAGCCAGGAGGAACAGGGCCTGCCCTTCACTGGAAAGGAAGTGGGGACAGGAAAAGAACTGAGGTGCAAGCCTCGTCCCACTCTCTGGGGTCTTTGACGGGATGCTTGTCCGAAAGCCAAGCGGGCCAGACCTGATATGGTGCAGACACACCTCCTAGCCACTGGGCCTAGGAGCTCAGGGGAGGTGGCCCCAGGCTGGGAGAAACCACTGATTTGGCCCAACAGAAAGGCCAAGAAAGGGGCGGATTTTTATCTTAGTTTCCATGTAGGGATTGTAAGCGGGAAAAACGTTGATTCCGAGTCAGTGATCTGCCGCTGCTGGCTGTTCCGTGAAATTTGGGGTGCCCCGTGGAAGGCAGACTGCAGAGGCCTCTGCTCAGCTGTCCCACACAGCTGGGTGGCTAGATATCCCCCGCGTCTCTAGAAATTAACAAACCCAATCATTGTTTTCTAATGTGATGGACAGTTATTTCATTTTATTTTACTCAGAACCTTCTGTGGAAAGTTTCTGTGGACAATTTCCCATGTCTTAGGGTGAAGAACTCTGAAAGCACTGAGAAGATACTTTTCCTGGTGATAGTAAAAATCGAGGGCTTCTAGCATCAACTTTATTTTTATTTCGTAAGCGTTAGTGCTGCTTCTGTGGGAGGTGCACCTCTAAACACTGTCGATTAATTTGCTTCATCCTCACAACAGGCAGGCACTGTGATGACCCCCATTCTATCAGTGAAGAACCTGAGGCATGGGGCCACGTGGGCCGCCAGCATCACACACGCAGCTAGACGGTGTCAGGATTTGAACCCGGGACATCTGACTCCGGAATTCATGCTCATCATCCCTATGCTGCATCACCATCAGCTTCATTCATTCATTCATTCACTCACTCATTCAGCATTTAATAGGCACCCACTCCATGCCAGATACACTGATCTATGTGAAGTGACATGAGGATGAACAAGACGCAGCCCTAGAGAATCACAGGCTTAGGGAGGCGACAGAGGTTAAAAAAAAAAATACAAACATGTACCAAGTGATTAAAGTGAATTAAATAAAATGAACTCACGTCCAAGGGAACACAAAGGATCTAACATTTAGGAGTGAAGTCCCAACTCCTAACCTTCAGAATACAGCCCAAATTTCACCTCCACCACACCCTCTTGCGCAGCCGCTGTGAACACGCATCCGGACCATCGATGACCAGCCTCCTCGCTGGTCTCGCCTCCGGCTCTTGCCCTCTTGTCCTCTATCCTCCAGACAATAGCCAGAATGATACTTTCCCAAAGTACCTGGGATCCCTCAGAACCGCCAGTGGCTTCCATCACATTCGGAAGACTCCAAAGCCATTCCTGTGGGCTGCACAGCCCCTGCCTTCGCTCCCTCCCTCCGCTCACTCTCTCCTGGTGCCCTGAATGACGGCCACTGGCCTCTCTGCCCTTCTTGGAAAACACCAAGCCCACCTGCCCGCCCCACGGCTTTGTGCTGCTGCTCACTGGGCCCTCGTCCCACGGTCCCAGCCTGGGTTTCTCCCTCACCTCATTCAGGTCTCTGCTCACACCACCTCCTCAGAGAGGCTTCCTCTGAACATTAGAATAATGTCGCCCCTCACTTACCGTGCTTAAGGATACTCTTATGCTGCTTAATTTTTCTTCCTGGGATTTATCACTGCCTGATACATGAAGGGTCTATGTCTTTATGGGTTTCTTATCTGCCTCTCCCACTAGACTCCAAGTTCCATCAGTGCAGACTTGTCTTGGAAGCCCTGGGAGTTGTTTTTTTTCTTTTTTATAATTCAAGTGCCTGACTCGAACTTTGATTGCTGAGGCATCCGGTTCAAGGAGGGCTCTCTGCAGTAAACACACGAGGCCGGACTAGAGAGCGAGCCGGTCCTGCCCCGCTGCAGCCCCCTTGTTGTCAAGATCTCAGTCGATTTCCATAACTGACCGTTTGGGCCACTTGATTTTTCTCTTCTCACACTTTAAATTCCTGCTCTTATGTTTTAAATTCCCTATACAGAGTGAGTCTGCAAAACCCTCGGCCCCCACCCTCAACCCCAATAAAAGCAGAACTCCACGCCCATGTGCACCCTCTCTCTCTCTCTCCCTGCAACCTTGCTGTGTGGCCCCAGGTGTGCCGGGTAATTTCCAGGTCTTGTAAGTAAGGAACCTTTATTTTCTCAAAGTTTCCTGATGGTTACTGCTGAAGGGCATCTTGCAGTCATAATAAGACCCACAAGGGCCAGTACATTCACAACATTGGTTATTGACAGGCTGAGACCGACACAGAACAAGAATCTATCTGTGATATTTGTTCACTGTGATTTCCAGAGACCCTAGAAAAGTGCCTGGACGTAGTAAAGTCTCAATAAATTCTTGTTGAATGATTGATTGATTACTTGATTGATTGAATAAATTGCTTTAAGAGGTCAAGGAAGGCCTCCCCTGGAAGCGGACAGTTGAGTGTTGCAGGATAAGTGAGAGTTTGCAAGGCAGACGAGACAGAGGAAAAGCATTTCAGACAGAGGGAACAGCCTGTGCACAGTTTCGAGGCAAGAAAACAGGTTGGTTTCATCGGATTGCTCTGCTCTCTTTTGCCTCAGGCGTGTGGGGGACTCCGACTACAGTGATGGTGAAGAGGATTTTTACTACACCGAGATCAAGCTCAACACAGACTCGGTGGCAGATGGACTGAGCAGCCTGGCCCCGGTGTCGCCCTCCCAGTCGCTGGCCTCGCCTCCTACTTTCCCCATCCCAGAGTCAAGCCGAACAGAAGCTCCTTGTGCCAAAACCGAGACTAAGCTGATGACGCCCCTGAGCCGCTCGGCTCCCACCACCCTCTACCTCGTGCACACCGACCACGCTTACCAGGTGACTTGCGAGGGCCCGTGAGAGTAATCGCTTTGACCCCTGACCAAAAGCAGTCGTTCTGAGCTGCGAGTAAAGGATAACTCGGCAGGAAAACAGCATCAGGCATGGCAGCCCAGTAGCTGAGTTCACTGTCTCGTTTTCTTCTTTTAAAGCCAAGATCTCACACAGATGGGACCCTGTGGGTTCTTGGACTCCCCTTACTGACTGAAGATCCGACCCCTTAGAGGTGGTTGTGAGGATTAAAATCCGGAATATTGTAAAGCCATCATAGGGGTGCCTGGCACGTGATATAAGTATCTGTTAAATAAGAAATAAATGAAAAGGTGAGTGTTGACAAGCTCTGGCACAGTGACAGAATCGCCCTACACCCCAAGTCTGGGACTTGGTGCGCCGCCTTCTGGACTGGTAACTAACGCTCTCAGATGGGAGCATGGTTGTCAATGTTCCCCAAACCAACAGCGTCAGCATCACCTGGGAACCTGTTAGAAATGTAAAGTCTTGGAACCACCCCAGCCCCCCAGACCTGCTGGACCAGAAGCTGTTGTAACAGACTCCCCGGGCAATTCCACTTTGCTCTAAAATCTGAAAAGGGCTTAGAGACAAATCCTGCAAGGACGGGTCAGGGCTAAAGGTCCCTCCCTCCAGCCATTATTAATAACTCTTTTAAATGTTGATTTGTTTTAATAAAATCTCAATCCATTCAAATTTTCCGAAAACATTTTTCCTATAATTCTCCACTACCTTATGCAACTTTAAGAAAAAAAATCTGCTTAACATATTTGTAATTCTGTTCTCCCACCTTTGTTTTATGAACGCTTTTCATATAACTGAGTAGTATTCAATTAAATCGAAACACCAGATTGTTTTCATCATTCTTTTATTGTTGGGTATCTACCTTTTCGTCTATCTGGTTTTTACACCATCATTAATAACTCTACTAGGAACACCTCTGTGCCAGTAGCTTTTTTTTCCCCTGGAATTCCCAGAAGAGTACTTATTGAGTCAGAGGGTATAACATGACCAGCTATGGCTCTTGCTATGTGTTGCCAAAATATCTTCCAGTGGCGCCCGTTACGAAACCTCTGTCACTAGCAAATCTGTTTATAATTAGAAGAAGCAACCTTGTGGGGGAAGAAGTCGGCCGCTTACTTAGTAGACTAAACCTCGAGAGCAATGGATTAGAGCTAATTATTAAATTAGTGGATGCAGTAGAACTCATTCCTGACTCTTGTTACGTGGGTCAAGAAGAAGAATTCATTCCTTTGCTCTTGTTCGTCAGTGTCGCGTTCAGGTCTGAAATCATGGGTGTGAGTCAGCGTACTTAACTCCCTTTGCTCATCTGTATCGGAGCACACACTAGGCAATGGAGAAGTTCCTTCCCAAACCATCTATTCATAATACTGGAATTTTTCTGCTTATTGATATCATAAATGTTCCGCATGGAAAATATTAAAAACATAAACAAAGAAAGAAAATTCATCCCAAGTACCAGTGACAGGAAAGCCCCTTGGTTAATATTTTTTGTATGTGCTTCAAGACTTGGTTCTATGTGTGTATGTATACTCAATAGGAAAAAAAAAAAAAAAAAAGGAGGGGCCAATACGGTGGTGCAGCGGTTAAGTGCGCACATTCTGCTTCGGCGGTCCAGGGTTCACTGGTTCAGATCCTGGGTGCGGACCTACACACCGCTTGGCAAGCCATGCTGTGACAGGTGCCCCACATATAAAATAGAGGAAAATGGGCATACATGTTAGCTCAGGGCCAGTCTTCCTCAGCAAAAAAAGGAGCATTGGCGATGAATGTTAGCTCAGGGCTAATCTTCCTCAGGAAAAAAAAACAAATGTATTGTAGAACTGTTTTTACTATGCTTTGTTTTTTTCCACTTAATATATCATGAACATTTTCCCACGCCAGTGAGTATTCTCCAACAACATCATTTTTAATGGCTCTGTGGGTATATTGTGATTTATTCACTCATTTCCCTGTTCTTGGAGATTTGTGTTTCCAGTTTTTCTTTTATAATACATAGTTCTGCAGTGAACCTCCTTGTACCCATTTCCTTAGAATGAATTCTAGAAGTGGAATAGCTAATATACAGAATACGAGGAATTTTGATATGTATTGCCAAACTACCCTCCCAAAAGGTTGTACCAATTTACACACCCACCACCTTTGTATAAAAGTGTTTATTTCCCAATTTGATAGTAAGGAATTGTACCTCACAAGTGCTAAAACAGGTATATGTAGGTATAATCACATTTCTTTTCTGAAATCAACAGTCAAAAACTTTCTCCTTTTATACCTTAGATAGATTGCTTAGATATATGAAAGTTTATTTCTAGCTCCTCTCTTTGACCATGTTTCAGCTGCTCCTATTAGATAATTAGTCTAAGTTATTAATACAGCTGAGACCATTTCTGAGGCCCTCCCTTGGCAGTGACAGCTGAAGATTCAGAGGAAAAATATTCTTTCATAACACCCTTGTTTTCTCTTTTACAGGCCACGCCCCCCGTGACCATTCCAGGATCGGCCGAATTCACCCCCAATGGCAGCAGCTTCAGCATTTCCTGGCAGTCTCCTCCAGTTACCTTCACAGGCATTCCAGTAAGTAGAAAAACAAAAAGCCAGAAACCTGGTCAAAACGAAACATAAATTTAGAGAGCAGATTGCAGAAACACGCAAGAAAAAGACAAAAATCAGAATGCCCAAAGTCCTTTATTTTTTGAGCGATATCTGTGACCTCCTGCACAAGGTGCCACCTGGTCCAGACTGGCCCAGCTTCTCTGTGAAAAGGTGTTCGGATTGGAATTTTAGAAAATTAGAAGGAAGTTTTAGCGGTTGATAAACGGCTTGTTGGAAATATATCAAGATTTTTTGTGTTGGTGTACATTTGTGTGTTTCCAAAAGCCTTTATAAAATTAATAGCTGAACGCAGACTCTGAACATAAAAGAAAAAGACTCTGTATGTACATGGCATCGATCATTATGAATAACTTTATAAAATTTGACTTTAAAATTATTGTTTGTGGGTATGTCATTTTGAAGGTTCAAATAACGTAAACTGAAATCACTTTTTTTCTTCCAAAACCTGAATAATGCATGCTGATGGGTAATTTGAAAATAAATGAGTGCTGAAATATGCAATCAGTTTTAAGTAGTATATAAGAATTGACTTGATATATTAAATGATTACTGTTTGATAAATCACCATGGATTAACTTGATTCCTAAGCGTTCATTTAAAAATATATTGGGTCTTTTATAGCTTATCACGGAATATCCATAGACCTACACACTGTAAATGCTCACGGTGGTTTATAACTCCTGATAAGGTTCAGAAAGTGGCTTATGATAACGATAGTAACTTATTTTCTCCTCTCCACCCCTCTCCCCAAAGACTTCCCAAAAGCCTCTTATTGCCACCACTGGCAGCTCCCAGAGGTTTCCAGCAAATGCTAAGGCCTCCTGTGGAGCTGATAAAAATGAAAGTGGCTCAATCAATTATGCTGTGCTCTGTCAATGAATATTTATTAAATTCCCTAGAGGAACAGCCAACAATAAAAAGCATCCTGCTGGCAACAATTTGTGGCTTCTAGAAAATGCTCCCGGAATTCGATTTTTAAACAATATCATGGACCTGGAGTAATTATGAAAGTTGCCTGCTTCATCAGATAATGGTAACTGCTAGTCGGTCTGAAAGAGCAGGAATGCAGTGAGGGACCTGGGTAGAGAGCAGCGTAGACACACAGTGTTAGTTTTGTTTCTGGCAAGAGCAATGATCTGCTGAGGTGGGTGTCAGAGGGTAACAGTTTTTTTGGTGACTTATTTTTTGGGGTAGACATAAAAAGATGCAGAGTGGCTCAATTCACATTTGAGACAACAGTTTTAACCTAGAAAGGCAGCTACACTTACAGAATTGCAGACCTGCTATTCTGAATTCTGTTAATTGCTGGTTTTGATTTGAGAAGCATTTTCAAGAGCATGCACCATATGGCTCATCTGGGGTAAAACAGGTATGGTGTGTAGATGGAACAGACCACTTCTGACTTATTTTCAAATCGCCTCTGTGGCCAACCAAAATGGAATTTTTTCCCCTTCGTTTTATTAATTCCGTCATTTCCTTTCTGAAGTACAGAGAGTTCTCTCTGAGTGGCGTTTTACTGGCTGTGTCCCCCCATAGTTCCAGGATGTCTTACACGGTAGGACACCAGCCACGATACCTTCTCCTGTTTCTTTTTCAACAGTGAAATTTTAAAACTCTTCTCTGCTATAGTCACTAGTATTTATATGTCTGTCCTCATCTCAATGCCCCAAACTTTTCACAGAGTCCCCAATTTCATTATCTCTCGCTTACCAGGGATGTTCTAGACTAGAGCTTAGACAGAAAGTATATACAGTGGCTGGGTTAGCCAGTGCCCCACTGAAATCCTATGTGAGCTTCCAGTTTGTTCTTTCCCCAGAGAATTCCCAATCTGTCTGATGTGTAGTCTGTTTCAGCCAACGCTCTAGGCTATTTTAACTGTCAAGCTTGCCACTCCTGTTTACAAGGAAAGATAAGCGAAGGGTGCACTATTTTCCAGGCTTGTTTTACTCTAGAAAGAAGACACAAGGACTTACTACTAACAATGTTCTTTCTGTTGCTATACTCTCTATCAATGCTTTAAAAAAAAAAAGTGCGTGTTTGCCGTTCACCTACTGGGGGCTGGATCTCACAACTCCACACCACACAGGCACAGGACTGTCACACTTCCACTGAAGGGGTGCCGCTGTCCCTGAATTCTCCAGGAGCGCTAGTCCCACCCCTAGAAGACAGGCAGCCAGGTGGAATCTAAGAATGTGTGAATTCCTACCTTATAAATTAGTAGAAGAGGGTTTTTAGACAGAAGCTCCAAAAGTTTTAAACTATACTGAATTAGTATTAGTGATGGCTTCAGATATATCCAAACTGAAGAGCAGAGCAGTTGCCGTTTTATAAAATGCTCTTTAAAGAACGCATTTCTCTTTGGACTCCAAACCAAATAGCCGAGGTTGTCCGCTCCATTTAGGGTTTGCCCTTCTCACACATCTCTGAGACCTGGTACTGCAGAGAGGATGCTTCTGTATGCTTCCTAGAGAGTGGAAGTCACCTCCCTCTGAGGAATGCCAAGGCTTGCAGGATTTCATTTATTCATTTGCCCACACTAGACTTCCTGGACACTGGGCTCTAATAAGTTCCCTGGGTAAGACCTCTTCCCGGAGGTTGTAGCCGAGAAGGCCGGCTGCCTATTTACAAACATCCCTGCAGGTGCAGTCTTCCCGAGCCGAAGACCGTGGACTGGGGGTAGGGAGGAGACCGTCACTAATTACAGCCTTCTTTGACCTGCTTTTCCCGAATGGCCCGTCTTATCTTCTAATTATCTCCAATCCTTCTTCTGTCTTTTCATGGCAGAAAGCCGAGAGCTCTTGGCCCCTGAGTTAGTCTGCTCAGAGTGCCATAACAGAATCCCATAGACTGGGTGGCTTAACAACCAGAATTTATTTTCTCAGTTCTGGAGACTGGAAGTCCCAGATCAAGGTGCTGGCGCATTCGGTTCCTGGGGTGGGACCTCCTCCTGGCTTGTAAAGGGCCACCTGCCCACTGTGTGCCCATCTGGCCTTTTCTGTTGGAGGGATGGAGGATGGAGAGAGAGCCCTATCTCTTCTTATTAGGACAGTGATCCGGTTGGATCAGGGTCCCACCCTCTTGACTTCGTTTATCCTTGATTTATCGTTAAAGGCCCCATCTCCAAATACAACCACACTGGAAATTAGAGCTTCAACATATGGATTTGGGGGGGGGGACACAAACATTCAGTCCATAGCAGGCCCCACCCCAGCAAGAAAGAGCTAATCAACCTGCTATCCAAGGGCCGTTCCAGGACCAGTCAGGCCAGAGTGAGGCTCTGCAAACCTGACCTCGCCGTGTTCAATTGTTAGGTGGTTAGAGGGTTCTGTTTTTTTTTTACACCTTGAGGGAGGGTTCAGAATAGTATATTATAAGAGGTTAAAACCAAGACGTGTCCTTTCTTTTTTTCCACCTGAGAGAGAGAAAATCACAAAGACAAGAAATTTCTCCAGCATTTTTTTTTTTTTTGAGGAAGATTAGCCCTGAGCTAACATCCATGCCCATCTTCCTCTACTTTATACGTGGGACGCCTACCACAGCATGGCTTGCCAAGCAGTGCCATGTCTGCACCCGGGATCCAAACCAGCGAACCCCGGGCCGCCAAAGCAGAACGTGTGAACTTAACCACTGCGCCACCGGGCCAGCCCTTCCAGCATTTTTCCAGAAGGACACAACATCCATATTACTGCTCTAGTGTGAGGCTCAGATGCAAATTCTGAGTCTGGCATTTACAAACCGTGACCTCTAGCCAGTCACATGGCCTCTCTTAAGCAAAGGCCTCCGCCCCAACCCTACCTTGTAGAGTTGTGCTGTTGCGCACTGTGCAATTCATAGGAGTGTACATCATCTACAGTGGCCGTGAACACCCTCTGGTTTGCTATTCTGCATCCTGGTCCAGAGGGGATGGGGGGCGGGTTTCGTGGGGATTCTGCTCCTGGAAGAGCCTACACATCTATCCACCTCAAGTACACACACTGAATTCCAAAGCTTTTATTTTTTTTTTTAAGATTTTATTTTTTCCTTTTTCTACTCAAAGTCCCTGGGTACATAGTTGCATATTTTTAGTTGCGGGTCCTTCTAGTTGTGGCATGTGGGACGCCACCTCAGCGTGGCCTGACGAGCGGTGCCACGTCTGCGCCCAGGATCCAAACCAGCGAAACCCTGGGCCCCCGAAGCGGAGCGCGCGAACTTAACCACTCAGCCATGGGGCCAGCCCCCAAAACTTTTATTTTTAAAAAAATTCTGCATATTCTTCACCTCTGCTGGCCCTCGCTCCACCCAACTTTAGCAAAAAGTAAAGACCAATGGTACAGAATAATTCACACTCATGACAACAATGGTTTAAAACATTAGGTTTTTTTCTTACCTGTTTTTTTTTTGGGGGGGGGGGATTAATATCTGGGAAAAGAACACTGACGCACCTTCCTTTACAGTGGAAGAAAATGGCAAGTCCCAGTACCTGTACTGGAGACAGGTCAGTCCCATAAGTGTGCCAGAGGAACGTTCCCATTGCTGTTGACTGGTGATCCCATTTCTCCGGCCATGTTGGCTTCTAGATGACTGAGTTTTTAAGTGCATTAAATGCCTGGTCTTCTGTCTGTGGCAATATCGTGTATTTCCTTGAGACATCATTTATCTTTTGTTATGAAAATTAGTTTTTTGCAGCTTTTGGGAATCCCACGAGCTTAGAGGATATTTAGTGTTATGAGAGCGAGTGATGGAGAGACCGAGTGAGAAACGCAAGAGGAATGGAGAACGAAAGGGGCCCCTGTTCCTACGACTGAGCAGCAGAGGTGTCGGGGGTCCAACACACACTCCGGCATGAGGGAGAGCTCAGGCAGCCCTGGCCCTGCCAGTGCAAGTTCCCTGACCTCGGGCAAGTTGCACAACCTCCTCTGCCTTGGTTTCCTCGTCTGTCAAATGGGAGCAATAGTAGTACTTAACGCACAGGGTAGTTGTGAGAGTTAAAGCTGTTGCCAGTGAACCTGGTACATCGCGAGTGCTGAGTAACTATGACGTGGATGGGATTTGCTCCTGATTTGTGCAGACTCTTTGCTTCTTCCCCTTATCCCTGTTCGGACTCGAGTCTGCCACATGGCTGTCTCATGCAAGAAGCCATTTCTTTAGTGGCTGCGAATGATCTGGTAGAGGGACTGAAGGCCGGGGTCCCGCTGTGTTGTTGCCACTGACTGGCTGTAGAATTGCAGATGTTTCTCTCAACCTCTCTAGATATTTCTCTTCTTTAAAGTGGAGATCATGAGGCTTAGAATAGGAATAATACTATCACTATTTAAACTAAGGTTTAAAATATTATTCAAGTGAAAGCATGTTACTAGGGGCAACCTGGAATGCACAGATGTGAAGTCATGAAGATCTTTAAAGTAGTCATTGTTGCTGGGTCTTTTCGGTTTGGGATGCATTTAAATTCTGCCAGGAGCATTGCCGCATTCATGTTAGCATGCAGTCTCTGTGAAGGAAACGCTTCATCCCCGTGTCTGATGTAAGCACCCCTGCCTACCCCTGTGGCAGAGGCTGAATAAATGCATGGTGAGGAGGACACGCCTGTCAACTCTGTTTTCCGTGTACTCACCAGGTGTCGCCAACACACAGCCACCCGGCGGGCCCAGGAGAGCAGAGACAGCACACCCACACGGTCTTGTCCTCGCCGCCCCGGGGGACGGTCAGCCTAAGGTACGACTGCTGGAAACTGTAGGGGAGTGACCTCAAAATAGAAGACCAGCAGGGAAAAGGGATGCAGAGATATGATCCTGTATGCCATGTGTCTGGATGGATGAAACGCTCTTTAGTTCATTCCCATGGTTTTCGCCATCCATTAACTATTAATGAAGATTCGTTGTTTGTGGGGGGAGTAACAGTTTGCAGTAAGGTCTCTGGCAGAATAGGTGATGCTGATTGCCGGGGCATTTAAAGCCACATTGCTTTAAACCCTGCATGAAATGAACTACCAGATACAATGTTTAATCCAGATCAAGGAGGACTAGAATGCTAGAAATTTGAGAAGCAAGAGGGCAGTGGAAAGTACGTATCTAAAAACTTGAAAGAGTAACGCTATGGTGTTTCTCGCATTTGCTTGCTTAATTCGGTTTTATGAAGAAGCCAGATGGACATGTCCACCAAGGGACAAATAGAAGCTTCAGAGTCACGGGAGCAGATTGTGACAGCCAAGTGTCGTGGCCTGGAAGACATCCGTCGCACGGTGGTTCTGCACCTGGGGGGCGCCCCCCCGATGTTTCTAACCGTTTGTCTCAGCTTTTCAAGGGATTTGCAGCTCTCCCTAGAATGCTGGTGGAATCCCTCCCACTGAGTGCGTTTTCCTTCCCTGTCTTCCAGGAAGCCCCGGGGAGAGGGCAAAAAGTGCCGCAAGGTGTACGGCATGGAGAACCGGGACCTGTGGTGCACGGCCTGCCGCTGGAAGAAGGCGTGCCAGCGCTTCATCGACTGAGGCTGGCCAGCGCCCGGCCCTGCCCTCGCCTCCGCTGCGGGTTCTGGAAAGCGCTCTTCCTTCCGAGCAAAATTCAGAGGAAGCCCAGGAGAAGCACTTCCAGGAACCTTGGTGGAATCATAGCAAAAAAATAAATCAGTAAGAGGTCCCCACCTTCCTTTTCTTGCTGAGAATCCAGCCTCAAGCAGCTGTCGCTCTTTTTTCTTTTCCTCGAAAGGTCCACTGACTTTTCATATGTCTAGGTCTGAAAACTGTGGACTTCTGTAGCAATCGAACCGACAAAGTCCATTTCACCTAGAAAGGAGGCATATTTTGATAAGCTTTCTGAATAACGTCGTTTCTGAGATTTTTTTGGATGCTTAAAAAGCGACACGTTGTTCGGTAGCGTTTGTACAAAGGACCCGCTGTCATTGTGAGTGGTCTGTTTCCTGTCTCCCGCTGGACTTCTTGGAGCAGTCCACATCATGATGTGTTGCCAGAAAGGGCAGCACCAGGTATCTTTTCTATGTCCTTGTTTGTTTGTTTGTTTGGTTTGGTTTTGAAGAATGGCCCCAAACTGAACCATGGTCGAGCTGTTAGCTCGAAGGGCCCCGGATGGCATAAGCTGGAAGAGAGACCGACGATGGGATCCGCCAGCACACGCCAGCCCCCAGCTGAGGTAGGGACGGGCAGCTGTCACCATTGGGAAACATCGAGGAGCCTTCCTTGGACTGATGATCCCCACGAGGCAGCACGGCTCCTTCTCCACCTGCCACGATGCAGTCAAGAGCGGGCACGGGCGGCCCTCCGGGTAAGCCTCGAAGCTTCCTTCAGGGATGTGACGCTCCCCGCAGCTCCGATCTGGTCGTCACCGCTTGTCTGACAAAGTTGTTGCCAGAGTGATGGGTCCTCGGGCCTTCCCACAGAACCCCACCGCTGACTGGCTTCAGAAGAGGGAGAGAGCTCCACCCGGTCCCAGCAGGGCTGCCTTCGACAGCAAAGCACAGCCCACCCGTCCCCGGCTGTCCAGAAAGTCACGTGAGGCCGACAAGCCAGCGTCCATTCTGAGTGCACTTTTATAGGTTGTATGCTTTAGCATGCCTGGGAGATGGGTTAATGACTAATATAAACACTCTATGGGTAGACAGAAGGTTTAAACCTTTATTTTTCTTATAAAAATATTGGAGCTATTCATTAAGAATTCGCTCAGAAGGGAAGGTACAGAACACCAAAAGGAAGGGCATGTTGGTATAGGACCCTCTCAATTTAGTAGGACCAGGGCTTACACTGTGTTCCAGGCTTTCTAGCCTGGTATGTTCGTTCATTCGTTTGTTTTGGTGGGAACGGTGCAGGGGGAAGGGAGTAGTTGTCAAGCCCTATAAATAAGCTCATTCTCTACCCTACTCTCGATTGCCCTGCGAAAGAGTTGTTCTCCTCTACCTATGCAAAGAGGGAAGAGCACCTTCGGGATGTACTGTGTCAGGATGGGGGGCCTAGGATCAGCCATAGGAATGTTAAATGAAATTGCACAGAAGAAAGTTTAATATATGTTTAGAGATTGTACGTACACTTTTTTTTTAAAGAGTAGAAAGAAGTCAGCTAGTAATAATAGATATCCTTTTTTTTTTATAAGTGAGGGAAATATAAGGTGGTTCTATGGTGTAACATCCACAATCTGTGCATTCATCTATTTTGGCAATTTTATTTTTTAAACTCTCATATGACTTTTTAAACACTATTTTTTGAAAAAGATCCTGTTTTCCTCCTTCGTCTGTTTTTTCTTTGAAAACACTTCAGAGAGCAGAAAAAGAGCGTCATTTAATTTCGCCTTGTGATTACCAATCAATACGAGCCACAGCACCAGCTATAATATATGTTTTAGTACCTGGAAGGTCAGCCAGGAAAGGGCATTTTTTTTTTAAGTACAGAAATGTACTTGCATCCTCCCCCCAGCATATCATTGCTCCTCCCTGGTGTCCTGTCACTTCACCTGCAGGCACCCTGGGCCATGAGATGATGCTCTGGCGTGGTCCAGGAGGCCCGGCCCTGAGCTCTGGATGGATTGCCCAGGGGCCCCGGTGAGCCCAGGGCTGCTCGACCACTTGAGCGGGTTCACTGTGTACTTAAATGATGGTTGGGGTGCAGTCCTGGAGCATCCTGGAGGTTTTCTCTTCAGCAGATCTCCCTGGCCCTTGACCCTTGGGTTAAATCACTAGTCAAAACATATTGAAGTGATGAGGGGCTAACTCCACCCCCACTCAGAGCTTTGGGACACGAGGAGGGGGAGATCTTTGCTGTGGAGCAGTCCTGGAGCGGGGCCCTACCTGTGGCTCTACCCCCAGAGGTACAGCCCGTGGTTGGTGCTGAGCTCTGACCTGGATGAGCCAAGCTGAGTTCTTACCTGGTTTTTAGCCAATGCACGGGTATAAGCAGAAGTGTAGAGCTGAATGCAACCTCCCTGGGATTTCTCCTACTTTCTAAAGCCTTCTTTACACATATTCTTCTGCATCTCCCACGCACGTGGGGGGCTCCTTTCTGCCGGCCAGCCCTGGGCTCTGTGTACCCTCTTCTCTAGCTTCTAGGTGTGCAGAGACCTCAGTACCTTTCTGCACACACAGACCCCATTCCCTGTACCAAGGCATGTGATAACTAGGGGACTGCCTGGCTGGCCTTGAAGAAAAGGGATTAAACTTCTTGCAAGCCACCCAGAAAGCTATGAATTGCAATATATAGCACTGATTGTAAAAGCTAAAATTTAAAAAAAAAAAATGTAGAGCTATTTTGTTGTATTGTGGAACTGAACAAAGTGCCAAATTATGCCCACCATTCCTCTTATGCCATCCCTGTGGTACCATGTTCTTTGATGTCTTCATTCGGCAGGGGGAGGTGGGGCGGGGGTAAGGGGAGTCCCTCGGCACACTGGCTGCTTACTGGAGCCCTGTCCATCACGGGATCTCAGAGACCTGTCTGTGTGAAAGGAATAGCAATACGATGGATTCTGGTCCCAAAATATTTCTAAATAAGGCATGTTATAGCCTTTTGACTTTTCTCTCCCTTGGTGCCCCTTTCTTCAGAAAAAGACTTCTCATCTTTCTCCAGTGAAGGTGTTTCATAGTGATGGGCAGGCATTCTCCAGATGGCTGAAAAGCAAAGCGTTCAGCAGGCAGTAGTTTTAAGCCTTATTCCCTCCCAGAGGACATGCACCTAATTGGCGGGAGGCAGTGTGACAACTTGGAGAGAACACCCAGGTAGCTGCGGGCCGGGGGACAGAGAGGAGATACAAGAGGCCTACGGACACAGGTCTCCCGCTCATCTTTCTAGTACTGATGCACAGGCCAGGGGTGACTGTCCCTGGCACCTCCAAGGGAGCAGCCTGTTCTCCCTCTGGGAGCAGCTGCCAAGGCAAGGAGTGAGCTCCTGTAAGGGAAGCACCTCCAGCCAGGGGTGTGGGGCTGCCGTGCACATCTCCAGTGGGCAGGCGCTTCTCTCCGCCTCCCTTGATGGACAGCTTCCTCCCTTGGTTGGCAAAAGCCAGTGTCAGGAGGAGAGCGGTGGGTTTCTGACCAGGAACGTGCGTGCTCAGCTGCAAAGTGCCCGTCGGCAGCTCCACGCACCACCAAGGTGCCCTTTACGAGACGATTCCTAGTCCAGTCATCATCAGGTTGCAGATGAAAATGCTCAGCAGAGAACGATGCGTGATGCAGTTGTTGAGCTTTCCAAAAACTTTTTCATGAAATAGTTACATGTATGTTGCAAAAGATTTCTGAAACTGAAATGCCCTCTGTCAGATTCCAAGGTCATTTGAGTTGAAGTCGGCTGTCTCTGGGGTCATACTAAGCCCCACTTTTGAAAGCAGCCCTGGGCTCTGAATTAACTGACACTGCTGCATCGGTTTTCTCTTTCATCAGACTTCATCTGAAAATGGAAGCGCAGCATTCGTTTGAGAATGGTTAGAGAAAAGTGAAAGAATTGTACATATGGGAGAGAATACCTTGAGAATAGTAGCAAAATACTGTAAATAATATTCATTTCCTCAGGGAAATTTAAAGGGTATGTGAAAAACAGATCTGGAGGATCCTAAGACTAGAAAGACTTATTATCTCGAGAGTCTTTTCTAGTTAGAACAGTTTGGTGGGTTTTTTTTTCAATCAACATGATATCATTTCAAGACAAATTTACATGAACTGGACATTACCAACTTTTTGAGGGGTGGAGGAATGCTCTGTGAAAAAGAGCTGTTTCTTTGTAGCTGCCCTGCATCTAAAGCTGACATTTGAACCCCAGGCACAGCCCCTGGTGAGTAATCCTAGGCTCCCGTAAGGCTTTCTCTGAATGTAATTGTGACTATGAAGCCTTGGTGTTCCTTTGTATAATCCCTTGGTTGGGTGACTGATTATTAGCTCTAAGCCGAATTCTGTAGGTAAAGCCTTTAAAGAGGTGCATTTTTGCTTAAATAGCATGTTAAGGAGCAAACTTCCATGGACTTTTGTGGACAAGGTGCTGCTTTTTCTCATGACCCTGTAGAATTTCTAACGACCACATCAACCGTAGCATTGACTTGTATGAACGCAGGGAAGAATTTGTGCATACAAATGAGTGGAAACAGAGCAGGCATCATGAATATGGATGAGGATGTGGATCATTTTGGAGAATGCGCTGGGCACATGGGTCAACTGGAAATTTTGTTTCTTTAAGGGAAATAACCCTACCAGCGGCACACACACTCTCTGTGTTCCTCTTACCTGTGGGGATTCCTCCATATGGAACTGTTTCCCGTGGGTCTTTTTGCATTGTAACTAGTCCAACCAGAAGTCAGTAAACAGGACAAGTTAGCACTTCTTGGTGTCAGTTGTATCACCATGTGATGCACACCAAGAGAGCAAGGAAGCGTAAAATGTATTTAAGACCACCTGGTTTGCTTATTGTGACTGACTTTGAAAAAGCCCATAGCCGATTATACACATGCTTTAAAAGGTGTATCTATCATAGAACCAGAAATCAAACTGGGAATTTTACTTCTGGTCCTGTTCTGTAAATAGTTCCTTTATTTTGAAGACAATCTCATGTTTTATAGCTTTTCTTGTGGGTCTGAGAATCACAATGGTAATGTGTTGTGTCAAAATGTAATCTTAAATACAATAACGGTTATAACTTAATTTTCCAAACGAGACAAGATATTTCCTGCTTAGGCTTCTACAGTTCTAAGACACATGATCCTTTTTTTATAACAAGCATGAGTTCTTACCTTCTGGAGTTAACAGAACTGAAAATATCTTACAAGTTGCAGTGTTTTGTAATCACAAAGAACATGAACATTTTCTGGGAAACGACCTTGGTTTTCTACATTGTAGCTTATTTTTTAAAATACAGTGTTTTACCAGACAGGAACTGTTAATATTATAAGCAGTTCCTGCTCTCCAGACAAAGGGCTATGCCTCTTTTCAGCAAGTGTTTTCATGCATATCTTTCCAATTAACCCTCTGCAGCGAGGGTAGAAATGCAGACCAGCTGGGAAGATCATCACAGGAGAATCAAGATGCAACAGCGACTCCTTTGTCATTACCAGTGTTTTCAAAGTATAATGGAAAAAAGACATGTTAAGAATCATCCTAGGTATCTTAAATCTAAAAAATGTCAGTAGATATGCCTATAGGCAATGGGAAAACTATTCTTGCAAATTCTTTAGTGTAAAATGATAGATTCTGTTACAAAGACAAGCTTACCACTTGACCCACCAGAACCACAAACCTGCCTTTAACTAGCAAGTATCATTTGGTGGAAATTTCTAAAGTCATGGTGGGTCAGCCCAAAGATAGAACTCTTAGGTGATCAGTGGTGTTTAAAATAATTCTGTCCCCAGCACTAACTAAATAACTCGAATTTCCTTATCGGAACAAGTGCTGGATTTTTCACACAAAGAATTCGCAGACACGCAAGGTTGAGATCAGAAAGTCACTGTATTCCCTAGAGTCGGGAAACAAGGAAGGGAGCCATGGAGCGTTTTTGAACTGCACAAATAATTCTGAGCATTGCCAAATCCATTTCCTAATACTGTACAGTTTTTTCTAGCCCACTCACTGATAAAACAAGAAAACATCTTTTTTTCCCCCTAAGATTTTAATAATTCAGACGCTAGACTAATTAGCCAAGTATGCAGATAACATCAAAAGAAAAGCCAGGATAGAATGGTCATCTACCCCTTGGGCAACTCCTGTGAGGTGGTCAGGGGGTCCCTCGGATCTTGCTTTCAAGTAGGCTTTCGAATCTGCACCCATGAGGACTGGGAATGCACAGAGTTAGGGAAAACTGTGCATGGCCTCGGCTCCCAGTCTCTGAGATGAGGCCATCTGAGATCTCTCTCTTCATTCCCTTGGAGCATCTCCATTGTTAGCATGAGAGTCCCCAAGAAATGTTCCTTGCTTTGTGGTTTTGAACCAAATGAGTCTTGCTTCATCTTTAAATAAAAGCTGCCTGATGGTGCATGGCACAGGCCTTAGAATGGCCAGGCAGGTTCTATAAAGGAACGACTCAGCTCAGGCAGAAGAGGGACCCTGGCGAGTGGTGGAGATGGTACTGAAGCAGAGAACACATGCCCCCTCTGACGGGGGGACCCCGCACTCAGCTCTAGACAATCAGAACCACACAGAAATCAGGCCCAGGGCTGCTGGCCTTCTGACTTGGACATATGCTGTCACGTGACACTGAAGTGTTGACAGCTAAGTCAGATTCTTGGCCAACACTAAGCAGACCAAAGAGAGCCCGTATGTGGGCAGATACAGCCTTTGGCCACCAGTTTGAACTGTTGGGGAAAGCACATGTCACATGCCGTGGCCATCGAGTTTTTCCATCAGCCCCACGAACGCACACGTTGGTACTGTCTGGGCAACTAAAATCAAAGAAGGGAAAGAGGTCAGTTCTCCCCAGGAAATCATTCCCATGGAAGACTTGAATACAGAAATCTAGTATCCTTGAACCAGCCTTGCCTCGGATCCAAAGATGCTGAGGTGGCGTCCAGCTCTCCCCCTGCCTGCTGGCGTGCCCAGGCCATGCCCCAAAGCATCGAGTGACTGTAATCCCGACGTTCTTACTGTTTTCGCTACCGTGACCACTGTGACGAGGGGCTGGCAAAGAGCAGCCTGTGCCTTCAGAGAAGGCCGGGAGCCCCAGCCGTTAAAGCTAGCCCACGTTGCCTCCTTGTGCCAAAGCCCTCTGCCGCCCCCTCCATACTCCTGCCCGCTCCATCCCGCCTCACGAGTTTTCGTTCCAGGGTAAAATTTCCGTCTTTCCCCTTTGATTTGGCAAAATCCTTGCCTCAGAATGCTAGATACTTAAGTATTTTTGAGTGTCCACTAACCTCAAAATGGAGTTTTTCCACAGAGAAAAACCTTAGCCCTCAGACGAAGACAAAATGGGAATAAATGTGTCATGGAAAAAATTAGAAGTCGCTTCCTTCATTCGGATGGAATAAGTTATTTCAGACTGTGTCTCACACCAGAGTCCTGACAGCGTTGGGAAAACCACTGACCCTTTCCCATATACAGGAAAGTCTGTCTCTTTCAAATACACGATTCATTTGACCTTCCTAAGAGTCCAGTGTAGAAGAGGGATATGTAGGATGACTATCATGGGCCTCCAAGGCCAGCCCGGAGGAGCCTCGAACCTGTGGGTCAGCCTCATTGCTGCCTGCAAGGAGGAGAGAAGGGGCTTGTTAAAGGGCTGACTCAGCCCTTGGTCTTCCAGAATGGCTCTAGACCTGAGAAGACCGGGGACGCACCATGTTCTCAACCCATCCTTTCAATCCAGGTCTTTCAGCACAGAAATAAAGAGCCCGCTCAGTCCCACAGTCAGATGCCAACTATTAAATCATGCCCACATGCGTCCCTTTAGGGTAACTACCCTGCCACTATTCCCTAAGTTGCAACCATCCACATGGTTAATTATAGGAGTTTTATTAGCTAACGCAATATTCTGAGTAAAAGTTTTGACTCTTTGAGAAATAGTTATTTTGCTGCTAACATTCAACACTTGCTACCCATGTAAATTTAAATCAATGCCAGAAAATTTAAAAACAGCTCAAACTTACAATTGGTAGTGATCAAACTGAAAAGTACTGTCAACTCAAAGTTGGAATCGCCTGGTCATAGGGTGCAGTAATATTTAAATACGAATGCAATTTAAACAGCCTTGGCATGCCTGAGGTTTCTGTCATTGTGAGTGATTAAAAGGCCGTCCAATACACAAATGGATTCCATCTGACCCTTCTCCCATTAGTTTACCAGGTTTCACATCTTGAGTTTACGGTAAAGCCACTCACAGGGGCTTACTGATGGAGCTAGAAGGGGCCTAAACCATCCTGGCCCTCCACCTACTTCATCAACGGGCTTTTTGATGAGTGATACTTTTATGATGTTTCCTGGCAGTGTGGTGGCTAAGATTCAGCCCTCTCACCACCACCACGGCCCAGGGTTCCCTTCCTGGTCAGGAACCCACACCACCCATCTGTCGGTTTTCATACTGTGGTGGTTGCGTGTTGCTGTGATGCTGAAAGCTATGCCACCTGTATTTCAAACACCAGCAGGGTCACCCATGGTGGACAGGTTTCAGTGGAGCTTCCAGACTAGACAGACTAGGAAGAAGGACCAGGCCACCCACTTCCGAAAAAATTAGCCACGAAAACCCTGTGAAGAGCAGTGGAGCGTTGTCTGATAGAGCACCAGAAGGGGAGAGGACGGCACAGAAAGACTGGGCAGGATTCCGCTCTGCTGCGGAAAGGGCGCTAGGAGTCAGAATGGACTCCATGACACTGACAACAAAAAGTAATACAGTGCTGGAGGAGGGAGCCGCTGAGACTCTCTCCTCTGCTGGAAAAGATGCCCATTTTGCAACAATTAGCACCAATGCTGTGACAGGAGCCGGACTTAAAAGGACCCGGGCTTTAGGGGACGGGAAGAAAGCTACCGTCCAGAAGGAAGATAACTGTAGATTTTGAAAGAAGGTGGAGATTGTGAATTCAACACTTAAATTGCAGTCCTCGTTTTTAAAAAATGTCTCATACTGGGCGCCATCCGCGTAATTATTAACTGCCACCTTCCAGAGAGAAGCTCCCCTTTATTTATGTTATGAAAATGTTTAATTCTCAAGTCTAATTAATTGTTACATTTACTTACTGGGAACAATCGCCTAAATTTTTAATTCAGGAAATTAGCCAGAGTAGAAAGTAGCAACTTCTGAAAAAGGCAAGCAAGCTGTCATTAACAAAATTTTCTTTAAAAAAAAAAAAAAATGTTGCTGATCTATTTTCTTCCAAATTCTCTCTCCATCCGTGACTAGAAAGGAAAACCGGAACTCTGGAGAAGCTGCTGAGCTTCCAGAAGGAATAGTCCTCATTCTGGTTATTGGTCTTGTTTCCCCCGTCTTGGCACCCACCTTGCATTCGCAGGTGACACCTGACTCTCCCCTCTTGGCCCCCATCCGCCCGAGCTGAGGCCGTGCGCTTATTATGTGCGTCCCCTTCCAAAAGCCCCAGATTACACCTTCTTGCTTCTGTGCTGCTGACTTGGCCCTCTTAAGCTAAGGTCCCAGAGGGTAGCTGTTACTGTGACGGGTGTGTTAGGCTCAGTCAGTGAGGCTGCCTCTTCCTTGGAGGGAAAAGTTTCTATCTGTCTGAAGGGTCTTTGATGACCATTCATGGAGAGAGCCAGTGGGTCAACGTACAGCTGCCACGCTCATCACGAAAGGTTGGTCAGGCTCACGGATGGAGAAGGATGGGGCAGATGTCTCATCCTTTCACTTGGACTCCCCCATGTAAGTCACCTCCCCGCCAGCCCCCTCCACGTGGCAGCAGTAGAGTGATCAGAGCCAACACAGGCAGAGGAAGAGAGCCCCGGTGTGGTCGCTCCGGGCCTGATCTCTGCACCGATCATGGGGCAGGAAAATGAATTGGCCGGTATTATGTGACAAGGAAGTGACCCACCCCTGCAGGGTGTAATTGTTTTAACTCTATATTTATGCACAGAGGAAACTGCTCCAATCCACTCACGTTGTTAAGCATTAGCCCCTCCCCCCAGTGGAGCCCCGCCTGCCTCCCCCCACCCCCCACCCCCCACCCCACCTCATGTTTTGGGCACAGAGAGGAAAGAGGGAGAGCTCTGGGGCCAGCAGCTCCAGAGCTGGAATTAGCCCTCAGGGACCTACAGCGTAGGGTAACCATAAACTACCCCCCCCCCCCAAAAAAGGATGCATCACTTCGCAGATTACAAACCCTTGCTTTGCTTTTTACGCCTTTTTCCTATATTCTGCTAATTGGAAATCGATAACTGTGACTTCACCAAGCCCTGTGATGATAAGAAGGCCCCTTCTTCCAAAGTATCCCAACTTTGGGGAACCTCCGTGACCACTACTGGAGAGCTTTAGGAGAGATTTAGATGTTTAGGGAAGCACTCAGCCCCAAAATGCACTTGTCCATGACTTCAATAAACTAAAATACCCTGGGTGTAAAATAACCCAGGAATGTGGATCATAGAGGTTTTAAAAAAAAAAAAAGTCATTAATCAATATTTTCCTACTACGCAACCTAAAATTCCTATTTTTGTAATTGATGGTTGAATGATGGTCAGCCATTTAAACATATGCTCTCTGGAATAACCAGACACTAGTGTAGTTTCCAAAGTGTTTCGTGTATCAAAATCTATATACTTAGAAAAGAACTCAGGATAAGAGAAATCGCTAAGTCCCAAAGGGTTCGTGACTATCATCCGACACAGCAGCCGAGTGGCCTGTGCTCATCAATTCAAGTGAGGGGCTGGGGAGCAAGAACACCAGTTACCACAAAACCTCTGTGGCCCTTAGTCCGTGATAAGATTTTTTAAAAAACTCTACTCTTAAAAATGAAGCCATCTTTTGAATTGTTTTCTATACCAAATCTAAAATATTAAAATGAAATTATAAAATATTTGAAATGGGGTATTTAGTGGAAATGCTGTTGGGAGAAAGCATTGCTTTTTAGTGCCTGCTACACAAGTAAGAGAAAGGCGACTGGAGAGAAAGAAGCAGTCCTTGCCGTGGGATGCTGGTGTTAACAGGACAGGCATTAACTTGGGCACGAATTCAGAAGCAATGTGGCAACGCTATCCAATTTTTAGAGATCTTTGGAAATACAATCTTACCACCATTTGGAGGTAAGTCTTTAATATTAGTGAATGAATGTATAAAGTTACAAACTATGCATTTTCAAAGAGTAACGTGTATTTTGTATCAAATCCAAGTAAATTTTTTCCACAGAGACTTCTCACAACAGCAAACTATTCAAAATAAACTTGCACGCACATCACCATGGGGATGTGGGACTCCCGTGTCGGTATTCTTCTAGCTGATGTTTTTACAGATAGGGCATTGAAACTTCAGGCTCTGAACAAATTCAGCCATTACGGTGAATAAATGGGAAATGGTTTATATTTTACTTCTTAAGCAGAAATGGGAAACGTTGGCTGTTACAAAATGTGCCCGGTTCTTTAAAGGTAGATGATCCGGTAACACTGGATTAGCAAGCAAACAGAACTGCATAAAGTTAATGTGCTTTGCGTTGGAGCCACGGAGCATAGGTTGTGCCTGTTGTGTTTAATTCTCAATCTACGAAAAAACTATTCCCCAAAGGGTCTGGGTTATATAGTTTCAAAGAACAAAATATAAAAATATTGTCCAGCAAAACAAGTCTTTAATCTTTTTTTCAAAATTACGTGGAGATAATTACTTATATTTTCGGAAGATCCATATAGAGTATGCACACATTTCTTCAGCCCTCTTTTGATTTGGTATTTCCATGAAAACTTTTCCTCTAATAATGTATCTTTGCTCCTGAATCAGTGGTTTACTACGTTACTCAGCATGAAAGAGTATTCTCGCCTTCATCTGACAATGTGGGAATAAAGAACTCCATTTCCCTGCCATTCTGGTTTTCTTCTCTGTCCATTGAGAAGGTTTCTCAACTGTTTGTATGTAAAATACGGAAAAACGCGCTTCTCAGCCTGGTCTTTATGGTTATACTGGATGTGTTTGCTACCTATTTAGAAGTTATTGGGGGTTAGGGATGTGTCTTTTTATATGAATTTTAGCCAAATTCAGATGTTCTGATACTACATTTCTGTACATACAGCCTGTGGAGGTTCAGGTTAATAACCTTTTACGTGACTGTCTTGGCCATGCTCCTTGCCAGCTTTTGGCACATTGTACATAAATCTGTCGAACGTTTAAATGATGTTGTTTTTCTAAATGCTGTTCTCTAAAACAACTTTTTGAATGTTTTTTGCTTTCCATCGTTTGGAACTTTGTCTGTTGGTTTAAAAAAAAAAAATGTTTCCTAAGTATTTAACACCAGGAAAAACATTTAAAATAAACTGGTGCTAATTGAAAGCGAAGAAAAATTTCAGATTGAAGATTTACAGTATAAAATATTCACACGAGTTAAACTGAACTAAACCGCACTTTCCCCAGGGGACAGGTGGCGTCTACCTGCCATGGGCGTCAGGAGGACCACTGAATGTTTACAGTTTCTGTGGCCCATTTAAGTATAAAATACAGAAATGGCGCTGTCCCCCGAGAGTTGAGGATTTGCTACATTGGTACTATGGGAGCATTGAAGTAGAAGTAAAGGCTTATAGTAAGAGTCTCTTTAGTAATAGTCTTCTGGTCTTTGGACTCTCATGTTTCTGTACTGCTTAGCTGTAACAATGAATATGGTGTTGCCAATCTAGTCCAACAGCATTGTTGACCTGTACTTCCCGCGTGTATGGTTCTACCTTGGGTTGCACTGGCACGTGCCAAGCCAGAACACTGGACTTTCAATAAGACCTTTCTGATTTCTACAGTGTCCACACACATGGATCTAAATGCACTTGTAACTGGTTAATTACCAT